ATTGATTTACGAAGTGACACTTTTTCCACTGTAAATGAAAAGCAGAAGTGAGATGAGATGTGGTGATTTCATTTTTGTTTTACAATCACTTTTCATAGAATTTTTAAATTATCCATTCCAGGTATCCGACACCGTGGTCGAGCCATACAACGCCACCCTCTCCGTCCACCAGCTTGTTGAGAACACAGATGAGACCTACTGTATCGATAACGAGGCTCTGTACGATATCTGCTTCCGTACCCTCAAGCTGACCACACCCACATACGGTGACTTGAACCATCTTGTCTCCGCCACCATGTCCGGAGTCACCACCTGTCTCCGATTCCCCGGTCAACTGAACGCTGATCTCCGTAAATTGGCTGTCAACATGGTCCCCTTCCCCCGTCTCCATTTCTTCATGCCCGGGTTCGCTCCTCTCACATCTCGTGGTAGCCAGCAGTACAGGGCCCTTACCGTCCCAGAGCTGACCCAGCAGATGTTCGACGCCAAGAACATGATGGCTGCTTGCGATCCTCGTCACGGACGTTATCTGACCGTCGCCGCCATTTTCCGTGGACGTATGTCCATGAAGGAGGTCGACGAACAGATGTTGAACGTCCAGAACAAGAACAGCAGCTACTTCGTTGAATGGATCCCCAACAACGTCAAGACTGCCGTCTGTGATATCCCACCCCGTGGTCTCAAGATGTCTGGTACCTTCATTGGTAACAGCACCGCCATCCAGGAACTCTTCAAGCGTGTCTCTGAGCAGTTCACCGCTATGTTCCGTCGTAAGGCTTTCTTGCATTGGTACACTGGTGAGGGTATGGACGAGATGGAGTTCACAGAGGCCGAGTCCAACATGAACGACTTGGTGTCTGAGTACCAACAGTACCAGGATGCCACAGCCGAGGAGGAGGGTGAGTTTGATGAGGAGGAGGAGCAGGAGGAGGCTTAGATAAGACCATCTAGAGACAGACGTATGATCAGTGAATAAAGCCAAGAAAAATCAAGGAAAATGAGAAATGAGAAAAATGTGTACGGAAAACAGCTATGAAAGCAGGCAAAATCTGTTAAACTTTTGGACATAATCGACTTTTTTATACTCGCTTCAACACCAAAAAAGGAGGTCTACAGTGTTTACATTCTAATATATTGAGTAAGAACGTATCAATAGTATGTGATCTACGCAATTAAATCAAATTGATCTAAAATATGTTTTGTTAGTTCTTCTTCTCACATGATTTTGTTTTAGATAAGTTGGACTTCCAAAGTATGAACCGACATTTCGGTTGCCGTGCTAAAGATACTTGCTCATCATTTTCAAAGTCTCTAACTTTTTATTATTAGTGCGGGTGACGTATGGACGCAACGGACTAATGGACACATAGACAGACTGACTTAATGACGTACGGACGAAATTGACTGGTGGACGAAAAGACTGATTGACCTAAATGACGTACGGATGCAATGGACACATGGACGTACGGACTGACTGACTTAAGGGCGTACGGACGTAATGGAAATGTTGGACGAATAGACTGATTGACTAAATGACATACAGACGTTATGGACTGGCGGACGAAAAAAACTTGTGGACAAAATGACATACGGACGAAATGGACTGGTGGACGAAAAGACTGATTGGCTAAATGACGTACGGACGAAATGGACTGGCAGACGAAAAGACGGTTTGAGTAAATGATGTACGGACGTAATGGACTGGCAGACGAATAAAACTGATGGACTTAATGACGTACGGACGTATTAGACTGACGGACGAATAAAACTGATGGACAAACTGACGAACGGACGTAATGGACTTGCGGAAGAATATATTTTTTGGTTGAATGACTATATACGGACACAAAGGACTGGTGGACGAAAAGATCGATTGGCTGATTGACGTACGGACATAATAGCCTGGCGGACGAATACATTTATATATTAAATGACGTTCTGCTGTTTGTCGCTTGGATGGATTGGTTGATGATTCCGGACGGATTGGTATAGTTGTCAAAGACTCGCTTTAACACAAAAATGTCACGTAGAGCCCAAACAGTTAAAAAAATCTCGTTGTCTTGATGATGAAATGAAACTCTTATCAGCTTCAATTCATCAAGCTTGTTGGCCCGGGTTGAAGCGCGATGAATTTTCCTCTAATTCCGAAGCGGCTAGATGGACGTAACTTGCATCCATCGTTGACTTTCGCCCTTGAATAAGGACAAGGGCCGAAATATTGGGATTAAAAGTGACGATCGTTTTATCATTTGTAAATTTAGTTACAGTAAGTGCATGGTTTAGATATGATAAACCTGAAAGACCTAGCTGGTATTTGCGTTACCGCTCTGTACTGATTTGTTTCGACTGACTTGCTTCATATTAGTATGGCTTAATAGGGACACCAACACTTGTTATTGTTACTGTTGTTGTGTGTGAAGGTGCACAATGTTCAGCTTATCAAAAAGCATGCAGGTAGTATTGTCTGGTCTCACGTATGGTATAAGGGAAATAACTCCACACTTTTATGCTGTTTAACGAAGTGGACCACAGCGAGCTGTGAGTTGACCACAGGCACCTGAGAATTTGTTACAGTATAACTTTAGTTCGGCCCAAACTGATGTGTCCAGAGTGACAGTACACGTTTTAGCATTTTCGACAAACTGTGGATGGTATAGTCATCATTAGGGGTATTGCTGTGAGTGCTAAATGTTGATCTTAACCCTAAAACAAACCTATCGGTCAGAAAAAATGTGTATATAGTATCTACTGCGCTACCCTACCACCTACAGTGCCATCTAGAGGGCCCCAAATATTACAGCAGTAAGGCACGTGCTGTGTGTGGTGGATTTATATACAGCTAGGATAACTAAAACTAATATCAGTTTAGATACAAAATATTTAAAATCCAATGAGCCAATCACTTATACGTTGTGTCCCGGTGCCGAGTATATTTATTATTCTGGGATATAGATACAAATCGTGAGAATATTTAACAAGTCATGATATGTCTATAAATAGTACACTACTATTCACATAGATTGAAACAGATTTGTCTGCCTTATAGGATAGTAAACCCCTCTTATTAAAGACCGGGGTCGACCTATTTCTTTTACCAGGTGGTAAGCTATTAGGCCTAGACCCCGCCCATAGCTGGACAGTGCTCTATAAATAGCTAGCAGCACGTTAGAGCACATGGCTAGTATACAGCATGCATTATAAACATCATACACACTACTATGATAGGGTATCACTTACAAGCTATGTGTTTCGTTTTCGTTTCCTTGCTTTCTTGTACAGAGTGTCAACATATCTTTTGATTTGACAAAACTACAAAAAACATAGAATCACAGTTTGATGTGGTTTCTAAAACATGTTTTACTTATTTCCCCTGTATTCAGTTGTAGTCGGTATTCAATTGTGCATAATGTTTGGGAATTCCACCTCCTCCTTTGCTGGAAGACATACGCCGACAGCTTTAGGAAGACACACGCCGACAGCTTTAGGAAGACACACGCCGACGGCTCTAGGAGAACACACGCCGACAGCTCTAGGAAGACACACGCCGACAGCTCTATGTGTGAAGGAAAGTTTTCTAATGTAAAGTGAGGTTTTTGTTAACTTAACTTGAAATTATGTTCGAGTTTGGATGAGCCCTCTCTCATTATTACTTTTGTTTTGTGGTATGCATCTTATAAATTTAGTTCAGTCGTTTCCCTTGTCGACGTCTGCAGTCCAGATTTAGTAAATTTAGTATTTGCTTTGCTGCTCTCCGCTGAACTATTAACTTTAACTTAATAATTGTTGTTCTTTTCCTCTTTCGAGTATGGTCTAAATTGGGTGTATGATTAAAGGGAAATAACTCTAGTTTGTTGCCGTTTCATATGAACAAAATATCTGTACTCTATTGTTTGGAGTAACCGATATTTTCAGTATAATACTGTGTAAATCTGTGTAGTATTCATACTGTGTCGAAAATTTAGCTATATGTACTGTAAACATCCGATACAAACACTGTAAATACATATGACACTTGATTTTAACTTTGTTACATAAATAACTCCCCGGTCTGTGGTTAATCAGGTCACATCACACGTGTGTACGGTGAGAAATTTGTTAAAATTGACGAAATAGTCATTAAGATTTCTAACAAATCAACTAAATCTTCAAGCACAGATAGAAATTACAAAAACAAACATGTCGGTATATAGTAATTTCATAAACCTATAATCCCCCCCCCCTCCCCCGACCACCATTTATCTGTTTCTTTTACTTATGTGCAACAATAAATGTAAGCGATTCAAGAACAGAGCCACCAGCTACAACAGTAAGCCGCTGATGTAGATACCTCACTCCTTTTCATCGACACAGATGTATCCCATGTTGATTATTGTTGATGCTGTGAACAATTTACAATTTTATAAATTGTCAATTAATATATATATATATATATATATATATACTATTATTCGGTGTTCCAATTTAGTGTTACAATGTAACAGATTAGTTTAGCAGTAGCTTTGCTCAAGCCCAAGAAAAAATGTTGAACCAAGCACCTGTCGCGTTCCGATGATGTGATTATCCGGGTCAATTAAATCCCACTTGGACTACAAAACAATACCATGAGACAGTTTCACGCTGGGTGATAGATAACGAAAACAAATACGTTATTTATACCTGATTATATAACCAGGATAGTGGCTCGCAATCGTTTACGCCTGGGCGCACATATCGTGAATCACGTGTACTCTTCTAGAACATCATCTAATGATGATGGAAAGTGATATTCCTACGCCATCGGCATCTGCGATAAAAAAAAAATGAAAGGAGAGTTTTTTTAATTAATTATATCAAGTTCAATTACCCTACATTATATTTACAAACATAAAACAATTATGCGTGTTAAATACGATTCGGAGTTTGTTTTATAGGTCTAATGTATGATTCCAAATAGTCCTTATTAACTATCTCAACCAATAGAATTTCGCGGAAGAGTACAAATCTGTTGAGAAACGTACACACCCCAAAAAATCCGGAAAGGTTCACAGACAATCAGCGGACACGAACGCGGTCGGTTGCGATATTCGGAGAAATCTAATTTGACATCATGAGGGAAATTGTGCATGTACAGGCCGGTCAGTGTGGTAACCAGATTGGTGCCAAGGTAAGTTTAGAATGAAGACGTGCGTCCATCTAAAAAAATTATCGGAATAATTTTGTTGGGTCGACAGAATATCAGATAATCTAACAAAAAAACTCCCCGACACGAATTGTAAATAAAATTCGAGTCTTAAAAAATCCACTATCCGCTTTAATAAACAGGAAGACGCACTCCCACACAGCCTATGACGAATCATCGTTAATATGGCCGTTACACGTGTGTGCCTTCACTGGTGTTGGTGTATGCGTGCCGAAAGACGGTTCTAAGTTACGTCTGTGATTTGGCCAGGGACGTGCATTTTGTATATACGTAGTTTTCAGACAATCGTCATTTTAATTTCAAATATAGGAAATATCTCAGATTGGTCGTTTATTTAATTTAATTGGAATTATATTCGACGTATACTTAGCTACTTCGTCTAAACAGAGACGTATTATACGTCTCTGGTCTAAATCATCATCTTCCTGGACAGGAATTAACTCTGTCGGTTTTGTGATCGGGCTCTATAGCGGCAAAGAGTAACGAGTTAGGATACTTTCTTTAATTAGTTCGGTCTTGTATTGTAATTTTGTCTGCTTCAGAAAAAAATGGTGACACCTTCATTATGAGTCAGATGTGACGTAATGAATGATGTGTTTGAGAGCAGATGTCGGATACGACATCTCCGGCTCGAGCATGCATTATTAAAAGCCAAGTACACGCATAACATATCTGATTGCAAGCAGACACGTGTTACTTTTGGATAATGCTTTGTTTTTGTCTTGAGTATGGGCAGTTTAGTTCGGCGCGAAAATGTCCGTGATGCTAATAACTTTTTAGGTCAATGGACATGCGTACAATGTGACTGGCTAGCGGAACGTTTTTATGCAAATTAGTTTATGTGTAATAGAGACTTGCTCAAGTTCGGCCTGTTTAACTTACTCACCCTGAAATTTCATAATGAACTATATACCAACCTTTCAAATGGAAGAGTTCAAATGTGTTTTTAGGGATTAATGACTGGTGCAAAGGGAAAACTATCACTGAAATCAACATATATCGACTTGAGCACTAAAGTAGTTTCAGTATTAAAATTTATTATTTTAATTTTAACAAGAATAAACGGGTTAGGCCTGGCAAAAAAATATATTGGTTTCCTGTAACATGTTGGAAAAAATTAGGGTAGGTAGGTAAGAAATTTTATTTTAACAAATTATTTTAAATATGGTTTATTAGCAGGACCATGGTGAGCTTATATTATGTCATACTGCAGCGTCTGTCGTCCTTAAAACCCTATTAGTACTGAACGGCAAAGTAGATTTTGACTAATTTGGTCTGAAGCATCCTTAGGCCAAGGGGACTCAATTTTGTATAAATGGAGGATGGCTGGGCTATTCAAATCACCTTGCATCCGTGGTCTGTCCTTTAACAATTCTTGTTATCGCTATTTCTCAAGAAGTACCGGAGGGATCTTTCTCAAATTTATATGTAGGTTCCCCTTGGTCCCTACCTGTGCAGGGCAACTTTTAAGACTGATCAGATAAACAAAATGGCTGATAGGCAGCCATCTTGGAATTTGACAGTGAAGGTTTGTTATCGCTATTTCTCATGAAGTACCAAAAGGATCGTTCCCAAATTTTATATGTAGGTTCCCCTTGGTCCGTTGTTGTGCAGGTTTACTTTTAGGACTGATCGGATAAACAACAAGGCCGACAGGCAGCCATCTTTGATTTTGACATTGAAGGTTTGTTGTGACTATTACTCAGGAAGCACCGGAGGGATCTTTCTCAAATTTTATATGTATGTTTCCCTTGGTCCTTTGTTGTGCAGGATTACTTTTGGGACTGATCAGATAAATGTAGGTTTTCCTTGGTATGTAGTTATATGTTTTAAATTTTTAGACTGATCGGATGTAGAAAATGGTCGACAGGCCACCATCTTGGATTTTGACATTGAAGGTTTGTTTTGCTATTTTTCAGGAAGTAGGGGAGAGATCTTTCTCGCATCTTATATTTAGGTTCCCCTAGGTCTTTACTTGTGTAAACAAACTTTTGAGATTGATCAGATAAACAAAAAGGCCGACAGGCAGACATCTTGGATTTTGACAGTGAAGGTTTGTTGTGGCTATTACTCGGGAAATACTGGAGAGACCTTTCTTAATTTTTTTTATGTAGGTTCCTTTTGGTATGAAGTTATGCATATTTTCTTATGAGACTGATCGAATAAAACAATCTTTGATTTTGACAATTAAGGTTTGTTAGTTAGTGAATTAATTGGTTTTATGTCACTACTGAATTACTCAGTAGTTTGGTTATCAAACAGTCGAAACCGGTTTGACAGGTAATGCACTTTTTATACCCAGCGAGACCCATACTCGTAACCAAGCAAGGACAAACGTTAACGCCGAAGCTTACTCAGGAAAGATGGCCCGAAGAGATGCCGGGTAGTCACTGGGGAAGATCTCAAAACCCCCCCAAAAATGTTTTTAAATCTCAATTGAAAGCTTTTTAACTTGCTCTGTCAGCTTAAGAAAGTAATTCTACACAAGGTTTTACGATAAGTTGTAAATTCCTAAAATTCAGTTGAAGCCACTCAATTAAAATCATAAAACTTTGTCTTCATATTTTTTCTGGGAGGTTGTTTCTGTTGTACTGATTCCGTTTGTTTACTCAAGTTTATCTAAAATATGTTTTAAATTTCAGTTCTGGGAAGTTATTTCGGATGAGCACGGAATTGACCCCACCGGTTCATACAACGGAGATTCTGACCTTCAGTTGGAGAGGATCGACGTGTACTACAATGAAGCCACAGGTATAAAAGATGACGTTTTAAAGATGAGATTTTGGGAGCTGTTACAAGTAATGATTAAGGGGATAGATATTGTGAGTTAGGGGGTACTCTATACATACATGTAGGTGTCAACCTCTGAAATCTCCCTCATTCCACATATCCAATGAAGGAGAAAGTGCGTGAAACACGACTGAAACTACTTTGCTCAATTTATCTTTCTCTTTTTATACCCCTGTCGTAAATATGTTATCACGTTGGCGGGTGGTTGGGTAGGAGTGCTTGGTGTCCGCTCGATATCTTAATTTATTTCCAACAGATTAAATTCAAACTTTATAAGAAGATCCATTACCATAACAGCTCAAATAAGTACGATAACCACCAATATCCGACAGTAACTTACAGAGTTAGGGCCCTTTTTCCACTGTCCGAAACGGTGTCCGCTCAATATCTCGAGTAGTTTTCAATGGATTGACTTCAAACTTCATAGGAGATTAATTCATTACCATAATAATTTGGACAAGTACCCTTGTAATGTATCAAAATAAGTTCAAAAAGTATTCATTTGATTTAGACATAACTAGGAGATCATTTGACCATAGGATGTAGATTTTGAGTTTGTGCGAGTTTAGGCTTGAATGAGGGAGTTTCGTGGGAGATTGATAATTTTAGTCAAAATGAGGGAGGGTTGACAGGAATGTGTATAACATGAAATGTTCGCTGTCTATAAATATTAGCGGTTCTCTAATTGTAATGTACCAAGGAAAATTTATAGAAAGAATTTGATTGATATTCTCGACTATACTGTTTTTGCTTATACATGTATGAGGTATCCAAAAAGTTTGTACTGCGAAACAATCTAAATAGTTTCAAACCACGAATGAAAGTACCCATGAACATTTTATGTTGTACAGTAGGTAATAGATGATGGTACTGGTAAGGGGGGTAAATTTGTCCATGTCAATGGGCATATCATTTCAAGCTTTGTTATTGAACAAACTATCCCTCAAAGCACTTAACAGATCTTTCTCAAATATCATACATGTAGGTAGAGAAAGAATTTTCCTTGGTTCCTAGTTGTATATGCTGAATTTTGAGACTGAACTGAAGAACTGAAGGTGGCCATCTTGGATTCTGACTGTTAAAGTGTGTTATCACTACTTATCGTAATTTACTGGAGGAAATTTGAATTTCCTCTGTTCGTTCCTCTTGGTTTTTTTTACAATAGTTGCAATGAAATACATAGTTCTATGGGTGTCAAAGCTATACACTGTAAATGGAGAGATGATATACTGCTTCTGCAAGGGGAAGCAGACTTCTTGCATGTACATGTACAAGGCAAATAAATAATCACTGACTGCAAAACACATCTATCTTTGAACCAGTAACCTTCATCTAGATTTCATAATATTACAGGAGGCAAATATGTTCCCCGTGCTGTCTTAGTTGACTTGGAGCCCGGAACCATGGACTCTGTCAGATCTGGTCCTTTTGGACAAATCTTCAGACCTGACAACTTTGTGTTGGGACAGAGTGGTGCTGGAAACAACTGGGCTAAGGGACATTACACAGAAGGTGCTGAGCTCGTAGACTCTGTTCTTGATGTGGTACGAAAAGAGGCAGAAAGTTGTGACTGTCTTCAGGGATTCCAACTTACACATTCTCTTGGTGGTGGTACCGGATCTGGAATGGGAACACTCCTCATCTCCAAAGTCCGCGAGGAATACCCCGACAGGATCATGAACACTTTCTCTGTTGTTCCATCACCTAAGGTACTAACATGCATTTGTTATGAGCCAAACTACATATTGATCAGTTACCAAATTAGCCAGCAGATTAATTAGTTCAGATACCATCAGATACTACTGTCTCCACCATACATACATTATACTGTCTACACCATACATACATTATACTGTCTCCACCATACATACATTATACTGTCTCCACCATACATACATTATACTCTCTCCACCATACATACATTCTACTGTCTCCACCATACCTACATTATATACTGTCTCCACCATACCTACATTATACCGTCTCCACCATACATACAGTATACTGTCTCTACCATACGTACATTCTACTGTCTCCACCATACATACATCAAACTGTCTCCACCATACATACAGTATACTGTCTCCACCATACATACATCATACTGTCTCCACCATACGTACATCATACTGTCTCCACCATGCATACAGTATACTGTCTCCACCATACATACATTATACTCTCTCCACCATACATACATTATATACTGTCTCCACCATACATACAGTATACTGTCTCTACCATACGTACATTCTACTGTCTTCACCATACATACATCAAACTGTCTCCACCATACATACAGTATACTGTCTCCACCATACATACATTATACCGTCTCTGCCATACATACATCATACTGTCTCACCATACATACATTCTACTGTCTCCACCATACATACATTATACCGTCTCCACCATACATGCAGTATACCGTCTCCGCCATACATACAGTATACTGTCTCCACCATACAAACATTCTACTGTCTCCACCATACATACAGTATACTGTCTCCACCATACATACATTCTACTGTCTCCACCATACGTACATCATACTGTCTCCACCATACATACATCATACTGTCTCCACCATGCATACAGTATACTGTCTCCACCATACATACAGTATACTGTCTCCACCATACATACATTCTACTGTCTCCACCATACATACATTATACTGTCTCCACCATACATACATTACACACATAGAGGCATCTTTAGGTTTGCAATCTGTTTCTTCCGTCCGTCTATCAGAAAAGTTCGTACAGGTAATATGTCTTTACTATTTAATCATGAGATACCAGATTTGGTTTGCCAGTACATCTTGGGATGGTGAAGTGCATATTTCCTAATTATGTTACTGTGACATATAAAAAAAATCTTTGGCATATCTTCTATACTCATTACCCGGAGTTATCGGATTTGGTATGCAGGTAGATCTTGAGATAGCGGAGCTTAGAAAATAAGGGTCACTGTAACCGAAGTTTTGACTTTCGACCTTGACCTTTAGAAATGTTTGTTCACAGAATATCACCAGGATTAACCAGATTATGTATGTAGATATGTTTGATGGTGGAGTACTAGTGCAGTTTAGGAAAAGTAAGTCTCTGTGATTTACTTTGACCTCTGACTTCAAGCATCGAACATGTTTGCCCAAAGCTATCTCCAGCTTCTAAATCTGTACTATTTCTCTCTAATCTCTCTAAGTATTCAAATTGGGTATGCAGGAATGTCCTGAGAAGACAAAATTAACTGTACTAAAACCAAATCATTGATTTACATTTTGGTTGAAAGGTGTACAGCTCAGTAAATAAAGAAATCATTGGGGGACTATGGGTAGCATTTTCATTTGTAAAATGGCACAATGTGAAGAATATTGAGGTGTTATTAAATCAGTTCATTACATAACAACAAAGTATAAACCAGGTATTTACAAATATGCTGTTCATATTTTACAGGTATCCGACACCGTGGTCGAGCCATACAACGCCACACTCTCTGTTCACCAGCTTGTTGAGAACACAGATGAGACCTACTGTATTGACAATGAGGCTCTGTACGATATCTGCTTCCGTACCCTCAAGCTGACCACACCCACATATGGTGACTTAAACCATCTCGTCTCCGCCACCATGTCCGGAGTCACCACCTGTCTCCGATTCCCCGGTCAACTGAACGCTGATCTCCGTAAATTAGCTGTCAACATGGTCCCCTTCCCCCGTCTCCATTTCTTCATGCCTGGGTTCGCTCCTCTCACATCTCGTGGAAGCCAGCAGTACAGGGCCCTTACCGTCCCAGAGCTGACCCAGCAGATGTTCGACGCCAAGAACATGATGGCTGCTTGCGATCCTCGCCACGGACGTTATCTTACCGTCGCCGCCATGTTCCGTGGACGTATGTCCATGAAGGAGGTAGACGAACAGATGCTGAATATCCAGAACAAGAACAGCAGCTACTTCGTTGAATGGATCCCCAACAACGTCAAGACTGCTGTTTGCGACATTCCACCACGTGGTCTCAAGATGTCTGGTACCTTTATTGGTAACAGCACCGCCATCCAGGAGCTCTTCAAGCGTATCTCTGAGCAGTTCACTGCTATGTTCCGTCGTAAGGCTTTCTTGCATTGGTACACTGGTGAGGGTATGGACGAGATGGAGTTCACAGAGGCCGAGTCCAACATGAACGACTTGGTGTCTGAGTACCAACAGTACCAGGATGCCACAGCCGAGGAGGAGGGAGAGTTTGACGAGGAAGAGGGGGATGTAGAAGGAATGTAGTGATTCAAATAAAGGACGGAAAACAAACAGGCCAAACAAACTTCCCTCAGAGATGATGACTTCACCATCTAGTCATATATTTACTTTGTTCAATAAATTATTAACAGAGGATATTCCTTTTGTCTTTGTGTTTTGGTCTCGACCTTGGGATCATGAATCTGTCTTGGATATGTCCATATAAATGTAGCTCGCCTGGCTTCAAGGTTTGGGATTTTGATTTAAAAGCCTACACCTTCCTACCAGCTACATGGATTGTAAGACTAATAGAGTACCAGCTTTCAAGGTCACAGGTCAAATCTGTCAAAACCTTGAAACAACTTATCCTGAAGAATGGAAATACCTATAATCAGGATATATAGCTGGTAGAATACCTTTGACGTAGGTTTTGAACAAAAATCAGCTTGACCTATATCTTCAAGGTCACAAATGTCAAACATGCGATACACTTCAAACATCTTCAAACTGATATGCCAAGAGTTCTAACGTTGCCTTAATTGTTTTCGGGATTTAGCCTGACAAAGTTTGCAAATAAAAAGACTTTAACCTTCTCCTTAGGTCATATTGGCCTAAAACTAAGGACCTGAAGCTGTTTTGATTTTGACCGTGCGAAAGGTGAAAAATATTGAACTAATATACATGTATAACAAAAATAAATTCATCATTTGATTAGTATTGAAGTAATTGAAAGAATATAAAGGATTATGACACCATTTAAAAAGGTCAAGTGCCACAGTTCAGGGATTTCAGGACACCTGAAAGGGGGAAAAAATGTTGCTCTCTATATCCATATCTGATAAAACCACTGTAAAGAGATGTGATATCGGAGCTACATTGACCTAGTGTCAAAATCTCTCTATAAACAACACCTTTCATCAATATTTAGCTCGCCTGCCCGAAGGCACAGCGTCCATCATCCTTCCATCAACTATCCTTTTAAAACACTACTAGTCCTGAATGGCAGTGGATTTAAACTAAATTTGGTCTGGAGTATCCTTGGGCCAAGGGGACTCAATTTTGTAAAACCGGTGGGTGTGGCCCCCAGGACAGATGGGCTGGGCCCAATAGGGGAAATAGAGGTAAAACCTTTAAAATCCTTCTTCTACCATAAGGATTGAGGGATTTTAACTAAATTTTGTCTGGAACATCCTTGGGCCAAGGGGACTAAATTTTGTATTAATGATGTGTGTGCCCCTACCCCCAAATTTTGTATAACCGGTGGGTGTGGTCCCCGAGGGGGAGGGGGGGGTCCCAATAGGAGAAATAGAGGTAAACCTTTAGAATCCTTATAATAGGGATTAAGGGATTTGGTCCAGAGGATCTTTTGGCCAAGGGGTCACAATCTTGAATAATGGTGGGTGTGGCGTCGCCCTCCTCCATAGGAGACCAATAGGGGAAATGGAGGTAAAACTTTTAAAATCTTTCTAGTGTAGGGATAAAGGGATTTTATCCTAATTTAGTCTAAAACATCTTTAGGCCAAGGTGACTCAATTTTGTATAAACATTGGGTGTGGCGCCCCGCTAGGGGCAAAGGAAATGGGGCCAATAGGGGAAATAAAGGTATTTTTTTTTTTAATCCTTCTAGCTGGGAGATGAAGGGATTTTATCCTAATTTAGTCTCGAGCATTCTTGGGCCAAGGTGACTCGATTTTGTATAACCGGTGGGTGTGGCCCCCCTGGGGCAGGGGGGTGGGTCCAAATATGAGAAATATAGGTAAACCTTTAAATCCTATCATAGGGATTAAGGGTTTTCATCTCAATTTGGTCCGATGATCCTTTGGCCAAGGGGTCTCAATTTTGTATAAATGGTGGGTGTGGTGTGTTGTCTGTCATCTGTCAACATTTTATTTGAACGACTTCTTAAGAACTGGATGACCAAGGGCCATGATATTTGGCCAATAGGTACAGAGTGCTATAAAGTTTCCTCAAATAAATTACCTTTACCTTTAAAGAACATTCTGAATAACCAGGAGAACAAGAGTTATGAAACTTGGATAGTAGGTACCTGGGATGAACTGCTATAAATTTCCCTTAATAAATGTCATTGACCTGCTTCCAAGGTCAAGGGGTCATATATATATATAAGCCTTTAAACAACTTATTCAATAAATCTGCTGCACCCATTGCAATATTTGGGATCTTTATCTTTCTTTCTACTTCTAACTACCTTTTATTTCCTATGGCAACACCTCACTTTTGGCCTTAATGTTGAGCGTTCGCCCAGGTGAGGAAGGCAATGGGTTCTGTCCCCAGGCCGAACATACCAAAGTCCTTAAAAATAGTAGTTGTTATTCCCTGCTTAACGTGTTCAGTATTTAGGGGAATGGCAACAACTGGTTCACCGGTTGTCAGTATACTTGGTAATGTGACCCGGCGAAATGCTGTGCTGAGTGCCTTCGGCATAGTATTTCAGTGGTTAAACAAAATTAAATCAAACCAAACCAATCCAAATAACCAAAAGGCATAGAGCAATATTTGGCCAGTAGGTATCTAAGACAGAGTGCTATAAAGTATCCTAAAAATGACCTTCACTTACTTTCAAGGTAGCAAGGGTCAAATATGTAAAAACCTTTAAGAAAACTTCGACATTAGGTACCTGGGACAGAGTGCTATAACAGTTTCCTCAAATAAATTATCTTTACTTATTTTCCAAGTCACAGCTAGGGATCAATTATGGGAAAACCTTTAAAACACTTCTTTTGAATAACCCGAAAACGCCGAGTTATGAAACTTGGACAGTAGGTACCTATCATGGAGTGCTATACATTTCCCTAAATAAATTACCTTAACCTACCTCTAAGGACAAAGGGGTCAAATCTATATATAGATATTAGTGGTTATCATTTAAGGAATGATTTTTATTTTTTCAACATTTATGAGGTCATAACAACAATGGGTTTATGGACATATTGAATGAATCGCGTTAGCGATTCATGTAAAATATGTCCAAAAACCCATTGTTGTTATGACCTCATAAATGTTGAAAAAATAAATATCATTCCTTATATTTACATTGACGAATCCTTTCAGTGGATCGATATAACAACGAATAAAACAAATAAACAGGGTTTGTTCCTGCTTATACACGGGTGCAACGCAGTGGCGAGAACAGTGTTTTTTCGCGGGGAAATGTGACACTATCGTGAGAGATCTTAGCAACCGTCAACAACAATAACACAACAAAATGTAGTTCCATATTCAATGTTTATTTGTAGCACAGGACACGTGAATACGTGGATATTTCACAAAGCACAGTTCAATAATATTTTAAGATGTAAGAATTAAGCATCTAGGTCGGTCGTTCCGAGTGAGTAGTTTTTGTAGTGTATTACTACGCAGTGTGATCAGGTTACTATCAGTTCCCACGTGCTGAGATTCTATGAACACCTGTGTTATGCATTTATGAATGTAATTTTTGTCAATGGGTCTAAGCATACAGAATGTAAATATAATAACATGAGTGGTTATGATTTAAATGTGAGGATTTTAGCGGGAGTTTTTAACTAATTCCCACTGACATTATTGCATGAAATGATTTTAGTGTAGAATAATCACTCAATGTTATCCAAAAATCCGTGAACTAAATTTAAATTCTTATTGGTGGGAAAGTGGTTCTTGAAAAAAATAATAATACCGAAGCGTAAACAAAGTGTGAACTCAAAATCGATAAAACTAGGGCAAAATTTGAACAAAGTCATGGAGACCCTTAAAAATACAATGAAAATAAGACCAGGTGTTCCAGAAGAGTGTGTTTTGTATTAAATCTAGATCAAATTTAAGATAGGTAACGTCCACAAAGCGAGAAACGGGGTAGTGACAACACAACGACACTTATGAGCATAATCAACAACATGAATCTTCCTATCACACAAAAATTGCCGATTTCCCCATTAGATCATGATGACGACCATTAAACGTTCCAATAGTCTTCATTAAGCTACATCTTTGAAAACTGTTTTGTAACTTTGTCCGTCAGCAATCTACATCTATGATTTCATGATGAAGTCATAAAGTTCTGAAGTTAGGTTATTTGCAACAAAATCTTGAATACCGACCGAATCAACGGCAACATGTGAAAGCAGGGATGTAATTTTCAAGAAAGGAAAAGATCACAATAGGAAAATCAAAATAGTCAAGATTACCGAAGCGTAGTTTTAAGAGGTCTCTTTTGATTATGTTATGAGTAAAGATCGAGGATAGTGACCGAGGTATAAGAATGTGTAGTCTCATTAATTTCGGGGGGG